CTAAACATAAATGTTTTGTCCCAATCAAAATGAGTTATTTTGAAAATATTTACTAATTTGACTACAGCTCTAATGGAAGGCATACAGCACATACAAAAATTAAAAGAAAGTTTTCACAACTAAGGAGGTTAAAAATTAAGTAGGATTTTAGAAGGTAATTTTAATTGTATACCGGTGTATCAGACCTGGTTACTCTAAAGATTATGGTGTACAATGTATGATTTTGACATAATTGTTACTATTCTATACTGAGACCTGTTAGAACTACAATTTTAAAAGACCAAGTTGAAAAACATATAATGCAAGGGTCGCTATCCCACAGTCGAAATAAAATGAGTAAAACAGAGTAGGGTTAAACCTGAAAAAATAAACGCAACAAAACAGCGAACGTGTCGGCAGAAAGCCTTCGTCAGCGAACAAAACAACAGAAAAAACGTTATAAAAATAAGAAATAGCACTTAGCTGGGAAGTAGTATCTGTGGGCAGCAAAAGAAGTGAGCAGTCGTCATGTTAAAGATTGTGGCCTGCTGGATGTATCACAAATAAATGTATATTTTCATTGAGTTAGGGATTATTTTCATTCTTGGCATCAACACACATTTGAAATATATATATATACATCATTTTTTGTTACGGAATGCACCATTTCAATGTATCCCCCCCCCCACCCCCACACCCCATTTTTTTGACTGATTTAAATAAAAAAATGATTGAAATAGTTATCAGTACTCAGCAGACTATATGAGTTCACTGAAATAGTAATCAGTACTCAACAGACCGTATGGGTTCACTGAAATAGTAATATGATTTATGTTACTTGTCAGCACAATATCAATATGTATGGTCAAATAGAGGGAAAAAAAAAATAAATCTGGTCCCTGGAGAAATTTGGAAACTTGTCCACCAGTCTGCCAAACTTCAAAGTTTGGGAACCGCTGAATTAAGGGAGAGCATTTAAAAAACAGATGAATTTAGTGAATTAAGGGAGAGCATTTAAAAAACAGATGAATTAAGTGAATTAAGGGAGAGCATTTAAAAAACAGATGCATTAAGTGAATTAAGGGACAGCATTTAAAAAACAGATGCATTAAGTGAATTAAGGGAGAGCATTTAAAAAACAGATGAATTAAGTGAATTAAGGGACAGCATTTAAAAAACAGATGAATTAAGTGAATTAAGGGACAGCATTTAAAAAACAGATGAATTAAGTGAATTAAGGGAGAGCATTTAAAAAACAGATGAATTAAGGGAGAGCATTTAAAAAACAGATGAATTAAGTGAATTAAGGGAGAGCATTTAAAAAACAGATGCATTAAGGACTCATATTACTGATTGACTGTTTGTCCATTATTACTTGATCATTGTCTTCTATTTAATAAGTGATACTGACTACATCATCGAACCACATTCCATTTACTGCGCTAAAAACATCACAAAAAGCAAAAAGTCCACTTGATGCCATTATTTCTTTTGCTTCAGTTCCAGATGAAGAAGCTTCTGTCCCTGTATTTACCAGCTTCCCAAAGAGTGTCTCTGTTGATGAGGGAAGCCCTGTAACATTTTCCTATAGTTTAGATAGTCCATCCACAGTAACAGGTAGGTCTCCATCAAAATAGTATTTTTACTAATATGGTATAAGAATACGCTGTTTGCTGTAGGTGGGTCCTACCTCTTTATTTTTACTCTCAACCATAATTTCATACTTTTAAACAATACTGAAGCTTTATCTTTTATGCTTGACCAGTTTCATGGAGTAAAGATGGACGCCCACTTGGCGAGTCTGGACGTTTCACCTTTACCCAGGATGGAAATAATGGATCTTTCACAATCCCTGCCGCCTTGTCCACCGATACTGGATCCTACTCTGTTTCAGCAAAGGATGACCGCGGTCAATCTAGCTGGACATTTTCGCTCCAGGTCAGGATAGGTGACTCGGCTTCTGGGGATGTTGATGTCCAACAGTTGATTGACTCTGTGCAGGTAAAAATTCTTAACTAGTACAGGTGAAAATTCTTTAGTTCTTCTAAAAAAATGAGCTGGTGTAGGCACAGTTGACTTAAGTCACAAAGCGTGCCATGTTGTCTTCTTGAAAAGCAGTATCTAAACAAAAATCCAAAAAATTAAATTTTAGTCAGGTGTGAAGGGAAAACAATTTAACTTTTAGCCTGAAGAGGTGTCCATGGCAAACCCCCTGTCCAAATTGCACTTATTTTCACTCATATTTCTGTTTCCTTTCACTGTTCTCAACTTTGGCTAGAAAATTCCTTGAACACAATCTTTAAAAGAATGAATTGATTTTTAAAGCTGTTTATTTATATTTATCCTTAAAGATAGATTTCCAACTGGGCGCTATTAAAAAGAAATTTCATGATTAAGATCTTTTTTCTGATCTAAAAATAATCACCTAGAAATATTCTATTTCTTATTCACATTATTTTTTCAAAGCCAAGATTTACTTCATAATTATTTTTGGTTATTATCCAGAAGCTGCAAGTAAATCCATAGTTAATACCAATGCTGTTGTTTTAATTTATATTGCATTGTAAATTGGATGTGACATCATGTATTAATTTCATTTGAAAATCTCTTATGTTTCAGTAAAATCTGTGATGTTTCTACCCATGGTACACAAGAATCTTTGCATGACAGAACCATTGTAACATCATCATGATCAGTGTGACATGCCATCTAAGTGTGTGCATCATTGTGACCCTGTGACATCATTACGACCAGACAATTATAACTCCATGACAAGAAAGTGATCTGAAGATAAACAAAAATTGTATAAACCAACTTGATAAATAATGTACAACGAAGGCTTTTTGGGAATCTCCATTTCTCAAACTCCGCCCAAGCTCCTTCCTAAATTTCTTTGTGGTTAAGTGTCTATTAATTAGCCCCTTTCATTGTTTTTGACTTGTTTTCTATCATTGAACATCTTGTACATGGGCACTCGTAGTTAGAGAAATATGTTTTGGATGCTTGGGATTTGATCGTGGTAGCCAGCCTCTTTGGCATGTGTTGAGGCCAGCAGCTCTAGACCATGTTTGATGAGTGTAGACCAGCAATGGGGCTGTTGCGAATGGTGTTACACACATACTTGCTGTATAGACGTGTTTGTCATTCATCGCCAGGGGAAAGAAATACTGTAATGTAACAGTAACTTGTAAATGCCATGAAGCCTATGGTTAACATATTTTATGTCATTGTCCATATTTTTTTTATTTTTAAAAATTCTTGATCAGTGTGTTTGTGATAATTTCTTTGAGGTATGATTAAATAGTTGTAATGACTTATTTCCTATTAAGGCTGTCTATTAAGAAAATCTGTAAATTGTAAATGAAACTATGAAAGAGAATTGATTTTTCACTGCCTATATCAAGATTGAACCTGATTGATGAAGTAATTACAGCACTAATTGTGTATGGTATTCAACTCTCTTTATTATTGTAACTTTGCTTTCATTTCTCGAGTAACAGCCTATGTTCCAATGTAGCTTTAGACTTAATTTATTGACGATGTGGATTTCATCATTAAAAAAATATTTACATTTCCTTCTCTTTTTTTACTGTTCTTTTGTATTAAATGAAAAAATATTTATGTTTTACAGCAAATAATAATTTATGGGTTGGGCGTGTTTTTATCTCAGTTATAATATGCACATTTCAGATTTATCATTTTAAAATAGCATTGCTATTAGGTCTATGAGAATATTTTATGATTATGTTTGCAATCCATTTTGTTGTGCCTTATATCAACATTCATCTATACTCTTTATGGTTTCCATTGTTTTGTGCCTGATGTATGATTGACTAATATGTGATCGTTGTTTGTCAACAATCCTGTGTGCTCACTATCACTGCCGTGGTATTGTCCATGTCACAGAAAACGTTGGCCAGACCTGCTCGGAGTCGCAAAGTGAATGGCACAATTTGGCAACTCAGCTGGTTTAGTCTAAAAAAATCGAACAGATGGTTAGAATTAAAATCTAATAGAAAAATACATTTTCATCAAAAGCCACTCCATGGGTCTTGAAGTCAACCACAAAATATTCCAAACATGAGCAATCAGCGTAAGTCGTGTGATCTTGGTGTGTCACGTGACCTCGGCAGGTCTGGTACATTGATCATTATCTTACTGCCGCTTTCCTTTCAATCCCCTCCCCTTATTATACATTGCAAAATAAAAGCTACTGGTTTCTTTACATAGTCATCAGAATTGTTTTGGAAGTTTTTTTTGTTCATCTGAACTGACTCAGTAAATGCTGGCATCCAAATGGCCCTTTTTTGTCTGTGTTTCTTCATGCCTCTGAGAGCTCACTAGCAATTTGTTCGTTTGTCCATGTTTATTTCTGGTTGCTTTGATACATTTAAGCCTGTCTTTATTGTTTGAGGTGTAAATTATTTGCTTGCAAACTTGATCCCAGAAATAAAGGATATCATTTTGCCAAACTGAGCCCTACAAATGATAGTAATATATAGTACCGGTACAGTGTCTTAACGTAAAGTACTAGTACTAATTTGGGTCTTTTAACATTAAAAAGAAAAATAGCAGACTAAAATTTCAAAAAATGATTTTGAAAAATATGTTCAAATGTATAAGGTCGTCAAGTAGTGTCGCTTTAGCATCATTACCTTTTCAATTCCTAAATTCAGAGCTCAACAAATTTTCAACAAAACCATATATATGGATTTCAGCATTATAAATATGAAAAGGGGTTGGGTCCATAATTCTGGTATTGCAAGCTGGATTGAAAATTTGTTTAGAAGGAATTTTATGAGCCTTTACAAGTCAGCTATTTAATAATTTTCAAGCACTCACAAACGACCCAAGAGGAGATAAAGATTTGTGTTACTACACAGTATTTATGTTGCATTCCGAAATTCAGAGACGGGCGTTTGACACAATCAACATTTTATATATTTTATCAAATGACTACTAATGGAAACAAAGGAAATATTAACACATTTTTTTTATTTTCGTAAAAGTATTTTGGTCAGAAACAAAAAAGGGGAGAAATAAAATTAGTGAAGTAAAATCATCATTAGTATTAGTATATAAATAGATATCCAATTAAAGTACAAACACACACTCCATGCAAACAGACAGTTTTTAAGTGTCAGATAAAAATAGAAATCACAACAAATTTGTAAAACCTAAGCAGAAAACACTTATTGGATGATGGTTTTGCTAAAGATAAAATATATTGTTAAATTATAATTTTATATTTAAATATGTTGACATCATAGTCATGGAGAAACTTTCATTAACAAAATACATAGATTCATATTTGGTTAGCACCATTAGTGATAAATATAAATACCCCTTAGCCTTAACTATCATGAGACCTCATTAACTTTATTATTGACTACATTTGTTACATCTACACAATATTAAATCTTGGTTCAATAGTTAAATCTGGGCAACTGACATTTGAATTTTTATAAGTCTTGATATGTTTGCTTCGCCAATCTGCAACCCTCATCTGCCAATCTGTAACCCTCATCTGCCAATCTGCAAGCCCAATACAGCAAAAATCCCTTGAATAACTTTAAAAATCTATAAAAATACTAAAATAATGGCTACCTGCCTGATGCCACAACTTTTATTGATGCCATCCAAGTTTGCTGGTCCTGAAGTTTGTGGTAGTAAAATTAAACAAAATGTTTGTCTTACTCTTATCAACTGTTATGTAATGCACTGTGATGTACAAAGTATGTAATTAGATCCTATTGGTAACCGGCATCCTTGAATACAATATGCAATGCAATATGTTAGTACAGTGGTTCTCAACCTTCTTAATGCCGCGACCCTTTAAAACAGTTCCCAGTGTTGTGGCGACCCACAACTAAAAATTATTTTCGTTAATATGTCATAACTGTAGATTATATGTGATTTCGGATGGTCTTACGCAACCCCTGGGAAAGGGTCATGCGACCCCCAAAGGGTTCACGACCCACAGGTGGAGAACCTCTGTGTTAGTGGGACACACAGGTTAGTACCATGTGAACTGACATTAATTAACTGAATACATCCTAGAAGTTTTTAGACTAAATGAAGGTCACAAAGTACAAATAATGATAAAATATCATGTCAAATGAAACTGTTTTGAACCATTAACATAAAGTAGGATATTGTAATGGAGGAAAGTGGGGAGAAAAACGTCAATACTTTGAATAGAAATAAATACAGAACATGCCATCACCCACCTGACCTAAAAGAGTAATGCACGTTTCACAGTATTCGTACACACGACAGAACATTTTTTATTAGCTGCCTTGTCATTGCCACTGTCGGAGTTTTAACTGACATTATTACTAAAGATTTCAAACGAGAGCCAGTCCTTCACTGCACATCTAAAGGAAGAGCTCTATCTCTATAAGCCCCACTGAGGCCATTTCAAGTTGATGACACATTGTAGCCGAGTTCTTATCATAGAAGCCACTTCATTAATTTAATTAATTTTTTTTTTAATGACAAATCTTTCAAGAAACTGGAACCCAGTGCACTTTAATTACTTATTTTAAGTAAAGGCTCTTGCAACATTCTAGACATTTAATTACCGTACTCAATTAGGCAAGCAAATTTTAAAAAACTTCACAAATGTGATTAATCTCGTTAAACTTTTTCAGATTTTATATCTTTATAAAATCATGCGATGTCTTTAATCTTGATACATATAAAGATAAAAATGTTAATTCCAAATTCCTTTGCTTATTCATAGTTTGTATGATCTTTAAATTTTCTTGTTGTCTGATTTCCAAGCAAACATTCCTATTCCTATGCATAGTTTGTTGTTAAAAGTTTTAAACTCAATACATTTAGGCCTGATCCATGGCCACCTTCACCACAGGATTTCAAAACAACCTCTAAACACCAAAAATATAACCCAAAAAAACAGAGAAGATTGAAGAAATGGAACTGCGGGTTGTTATTGTCTGTTAAGTTGTACTCTTGGTTTTCAGTTGTGTTGTACACTGACTCCAGTTTTCTGTTGTAGACAGAGGAAAGGAAGGTACGCATGCTTGTGGCTACTACAGAAATGTGATGATCCAGAGGTGGGGAGGGTTGTGATGATCCATTGAGATTTTAAAATGTTATACTCACAACTACACGCTATCCTGTGTGAGAAAAATGCACTTTGAAATCAAATCAGTTTATGAAAAACACACAACAGACTCATAGTCATAACCACACAAAAAGACTAAGTCCTCTTATTTGTATTAAAAAAATGTTTTATGTGCATTTTCATGGGATAACTCAGGGTGAAAGAAAGGGAAATAAAAGACTGACAATGAGAAATTTTAAAATGAAATGGTAATGGTACGAACGTAGATATGAAACTAATACAAAAACATCATTTTATTTTCTGTGGTTAAGCAAAGAGACTACCAACAAACATATAATGACAAATATATTTTCAAATGTTTTCAAGCTCATTATTGGAAGAAAAAAATGTTGAGTGCATATTTCAGCAAAAACTGTTAGAATAATATCTTCTTGCTGATGCCAAAGTGGGGATTTTTTTTTTTTCACTTCATGTCAAACCAGAATATTTGTAAATCAAGAATAGCAGATGTTTTAAATAATAGTGTTAAAAATTTTAACCAACCGCAGACAACCATAAAAGACTGAAATGAAAAGAAAGCTGGTGGGGAAATGCTTATTTTTTAAGTTTCTCTCCCTAACCACTTCAAATATTTCATCTGCTACCGACAAACAACTGCTCCCGACAAAAAATTCATCTTTATACAAATATACAAAACTGGTTGATGCCAGATGTCTCTGTATAAGAAAATTTTACTAAAATTTTCCATTATATTTAAATATGAATGTTTAATATACTAAACAAGAAAATTAGATGCAATTTTTGTTAGTATTCATAATTATTTTTATAAAAAACATTTTTCAATCATTTATTTAACTTGAAACAAACATTGCAAGTACCAAAGATAATTTGTTCACTGAATCACCTCCCCTTCTATACTGGGCAAAACAAAAAGTTATTTTATATTAAAAATTAGTTTAAAAGAGTTAAGGTGTAATAATAACTACTATTTTCTTTAACACAAAAATAACTTGTCTATTTTTAAAATATTCCTTAAAAAAAAAAGTACACATTTCTTTAATTGTTGTAGATCAGCCCTGCACAACATACGGCCCGCCAGCATCCACTTTGCGCCCCGCGAAGTAACAAAATATTCATTATTCTTATAATTTTCTTACTAGCCTCCCCCCCCCCCCCCCCCCCGTCCTATTTTCTTTTGACCCGCACAAGTCCTGTCCTACTACGGCCCGCCTTACACTTTGAGTTGTGCAGGCCTGCTTTAGATAATTACAAATGGAAAAAAAATCTTTCTCCCAGTGTGTAGGTGTATCATCTTTCATTAATTTTGTATACTGTTATTAATCTGCATCGAGGTCAATTGATTATCTACAGAATTTCAAAAAACATTTTGGCAGAATTTATTTTGTTGTGATTTTTGTCTAAGATGTGTGTAGAATTGTATAGAAATATTTTTCTTTACTTTTTTTAAGGAATTATTATTCACCTATCTTTCAACTATTCACTATTTCATTACCACTGAGTTAAAAAAATATTTCAAAATTTTATTTCATATGCATTACACTTAAAATGCACTACAACATTTAAAAAAGTTAATTACAATTCAGTTTGATTAATAGTTATAATTTACTTAGCATTAAGTCAACACATCATAAAAGAATTCTTGTTATTTTATAATGTATCTTATACTGCACACAGACCTGGTCTATCTTTTTATTGTGGGAAAACTCATCACTTTCTAAAATAATTTTACTTGCAGTTAATAACATTTGAAAGTATTCTTTAAAATTTAAAGCCAATTTCTTGGCAAGCTGGTCACAGTATATTATCCCAAGCCTAGGTCAAGGTCAACTGCTTATGGTGGTGAATGAATTTAACATATTTTCTCTCATCATGTGGTTGGAGACAAAAAGGAAGTTTGAAACAAACTAGATGAGGGTATTTCATTTAAAACTTGAATTTACATAAATGTAAAAATATAAACTGTCCCCATTGTCTGCAAAGTTATTCTACCAGTCTTCATACGACTAAATTACTTTTTATTACTCAACCAATAAAATACAAAAATGTATGACAAAATTTCATTCATAACTAAACTTATTTTCAGGAAATTATTTTTCATTCAGTACTTTTAAGCCATTGATAATCTCATAACATAAAGAATATCTGATACAAGACAAGTTTGGAGGCTCACTTTTACAGGACTACAATCAGATCTCCACTTATAGAAGCTATAGCTAACTTTTACTTTCATTCCATCATTTAAAATATCTATTCTTGAAACTGATGTTATACCATTGCACTAGACTCTCCTATTCTGTCTGCAATCTGAAAAATAAGGATCAATAGTTTGAAAACTTCAATAAGCTTAACTTCTACAACAAAATCGTTAAATAGATGATGACAGTTATGTTTCTAAATCTTTGGTTTAAAAAATATGGGATTTCTTACAAATTTTACATAGCTCTACATTCTGAATGAAAGTCACATTTATGATAAATATAGTAACATCAATTTTAAAACCACAATTTGCAACGAAACAATATACTTACAGATCTTATACCCGGCAAGTTCAAAATTGATCCTACGACCGGCACTCGTCTTAAAAAGTTGACTGCAACAGGGAAAAACCCACTGGAATAAAAAGTAAAGAACTAAATAAGCAAACAAAAATGTTGTGAAATATGTTTACTATTACATAAAGCTTTTTAAAATATGTTTGATATGCTGGAATAGGACACTGGCATGGCAATAGCAGGAACTGCTCATTTGAAACATATCTCAAGTCTGTGACCTTTTTATTTTGCTGGTTCATGTCGATAATTAGCATTTTATTAAGTTATCCGTTTGTTCTTTACAGTTTGTTTGGACCAATGTAACATCAAGCAGATGTTTCATTGGTCCAAACAAACTTTTATTACTTACATTTGCACAAAATCAAACTATGTAACCAGCATGCATTGGTCCAAATGTAACATCAAGCCGAATGCATGCTGGTCACATAGTTTGATTTGTGCAAATGTAAGTAATAAAAAGCAGAGCATGCGGTATGATCAGTTGCGGGGAAAAAATTATCTTATTTTCAGGTACAAGAGACTTCCTCGGATTGTTCTGGTTTCTTTCATTCATTTTGAATGATGAGTTTCAAGTGGCTTATGATGCAATAAAACTGAAGAAATTGAGATGAATTACTGAGTGGTCTTACAGCTGTATGATAATGGGAGTAAAGAGAAACCACTATCTACTATTAAAGGGTGTTTATGTATTGGTAAAAATCTAGTAGTCTGCCTCTTAAAACAAACTATTTTTCATCGCTGTCAGGTCCAGTTTGTAAGCTCGTTTTTCTCTCTACTGTGTTCAAACACAATTTTTAAAAAACCCTAAAGTTTGGTTTGTACCATTGTAACATGAAGCACGAGAAATGCTGGTGGCACAGTTTAGGTAAGGTTTGAAGGACTAATTATAATAATAATAAAGTTTATTTGAAAATCACGTTTCATCTCCAAAGGCTCGAAGCGCGGTACAAAGTCAACTAAATTAAAAGAGAAATTTTTAAAAATTTATATTATACCACATTGAAATACAAAACGCAACATTACAAAAACTACATAAGAGAATACCCATTCTAATTTTTTCATCCCATAAACAACACAGGCCAATATACATCTAGGAGATAAAAGCCAGCTGGAAAAGATAATAGACAACATCACCCCAGCAGGTGTTTGCGAAATAGATGTGTTTTCAATTCGGTTTTGAAAGACTCCAGTGTCTGGCTGTTTCTGAGAGCATCAGGAACAGTGTTCCAAATTGTTGGGCCAGCAAATGCGAAAGTGCGCCTCCCGTAAGTCTCAAGGCAAACACGTGGTATCGAGAGTTTGCCACTATCGGATGAGTGGAGTTGTCTAGTGGGTACATAAGGCGTCATGAGCGCTTTGGGATAGGACGGTGCCAGGTCATGCAAGCAGCGGTAGCACAGAGTTGCAATTTTGTACTAACCTGAAGAGTAAAAAGAATCCATAGAGTTCAACACACATTCCCACAATAGGCCAACCAAGCAACACAATCAGCATTCCTCCAACAAAGAAACCTGTGGCCTTAAGCTTGTGCTTCTGAAAGAAGAAGCGAAATGTGCGCTCCAGTCCAATAACAAAAGCTAGACCACTGATGAACAGAATCTGAAAATATATAATTGACAATATAAATTTATCAAATCATTGTAAAAAATATATATTTTTAAATTACTAAACTTTATTTAAACACAGGGTTTAACATATGATGTCATTTTAACACAGGGTTTCTTAACATATGATCTCATTTAAACACAGGGTTTCTTAACATATGATGTCATTTAAACACAGGGTTTCTTAACATATGATTTCATTTAAACACAGGGTTGCTTAACATATGATTTCATTTAAATACAGGGTTGCTTAACATATAATGTCATTTAAACACAGGGTTTCTTAACATATGATTTCATTTAAACACAGAGTTTCTTAACATATGGTGTCATTTCAGGGGAGCGAGGAAAAGTGATGTAAGAAAAGAGGAAACATTGAATTTTAAATTATGATATCACTTTTTAAGTTTATAATTTTTAAAAACTCTTTATGTCATATGTAAAAAGTGACTTTTCTAGGTCCTAATGCAGACCAGGTTACAATGGAACTCCCAAAATAGTATAATAGAGTCTCAGAATAGTACTTTACTATCTCAAAATCGTACAATACTGTATTGCAATAGTAAATAAATAAACATACAGTATAATGTAAACAACAACTATTTGCATCGCTTGTCTAATAAAGTTCACTTCTCAAAGAAGACGACTCGCATTTATATATTTATGTACTTATATTTATAGACTGTGCATTATTGAAAATAAAAAGGTGCCCGTCATTTGTCACTTTGACAGACCAAGATATGGCAGGAGAGCAGAAATTGAGGGGTGGGGTTTGGGGAGGAGGTAGAGCCCCCTTCCCAGAAATTTTCGTATAAATACAAAATGCAGAAATTCATTTTTGCGTATACCTGGAAATAGTTTTGCATCATTCTACAATGAATCAAAAATACTTGTGGAAAATTAGGTTCCCTTTGCTTAGTTGGGTTTACATAATCCTTTTTAGTTGAGTAGTTACTCAAGAGTCAAATTATTGGAGAATCGATTCATTATTTCAATCTACCTTTTTTAAATCGGCCTAAAAAAGGTGCGGAAAGACCGAAAACGAAAAAATGATGTGTATATTATTTCAAATGTGGGTTTATGCCAAAAATGAAAATAATGGCTCATTGGATGAAGAAATAATTAGTTCATTAGTGATACATCCGGTGGGCCACAAATGTTAAGGTGGTGGGCTGCATATTGCCCACCCCTGCCTTGAGCCTAGGAGCTTGATTTTATTTACCATTAACATATTATAGTCTAATAAATACCGCAAGCTGTATTGGAAAAAAGGAAGAGAAGTGGAACGAAACTGGGCTATTAAACATTGTGCAGCTGCTTGGTGACTTCTAATAATATATTTCAAATGCAGCTAACTTGATCTTATAAAATATGTCAAAATCTAACGTTGCAGTGTGGAACAGTTGAAGATGTCATTTTATATTTCTTTTAATCTTTAGCTTGCTCCATTATCGCAATCCCAGTTCAGCTAAAGAAGAACAGAATTATGTCAATAAATTTCGTCATAGAGCACCAAATGAAACCTAAGCGAAAGTGAAATTTCTCACTAGGATGAATACGATAAATATTACTTCTTCTTCTTCTTCTATATATTAAGGGCCCACAATCAATATATTGATCATTCTAGCTCCTATGTGTGTAGACGGATCTGCAATGTTTCTGAGGCTGGCATTAAAGAGGATATTTCACTGGTTGCAAGGGCTACTCAGCGAGGGTATCAGGAACTGGGGTTTGGAAGGCAATAGTGTCAAATGTTGTTGACTCAACTGTTCCTTTTGGAAGCTTGTTCCAGTCCTTGATTGTCTTTGGCAGGAATGAGCAGCTCCGGTCCTGTGTTCTTGCTATTATGAGGCGGAGAGGGGGGAGAGGGACGAGTTTCTGTTTAATGCTGGAGCAGTGGACCAGCCCATTATGTATCTTGTCCATCATGGAGAGCCTGGTTAATCGTCTTCTTTCCTCCAATGGTGACTAGCCCAGTGTTTCCAGTCCTGTAGCGATTCAGAACAAAGCGTGCCGCCCGTAGTTGGACAGCCTCAAACCTGTCAATGCTCTGCTGGGTGAATGGGTCCCAGACTGAAGATGTGTAATCTAAAAAAGGCCGGACAACTCCAATGCACACCTGTGTGCTTCCAAGTCAACTCCAATGCACACCTGTGTGCTTCCAAGTCAACTCCACCCACTTTGCCATCTCAGTGTGTATTTAAATTATGGATGGTCCCCAGCTAATCGTATTTCTCTGTCCATTCACCATGAGGTGTAGAAAGGAGCTAAAACTAGCATCATAAATCATAAAAAACTACAGGAATATATTTTTTTAACCCAGTCTCATAAAAATCGTAGTATTGACAGGTATCAACACACAATCAAAAAAGACATGTCAAAATTGTACATTGTGGGTCAAAAGTGTAAGAAAAAACAGGTCTGCTACTGCTCTCTTTGTAATTCAATTAAAAAATTTAGAATTCATTTTTTTGTTTTAATTTTTTTTTTTTTTTTTTATTTTTGTTGTGGTTAGTCAAATAGTTCATAGGGGGTGCAGAACACAGAAAATGTTGGGAAATTCTGTTTTAATAAGTGTCCGGTTACTAAAAAACAGAATAATTTTCCACACATTTATGTTTTTACAAAAGAACTGGTATAAAAAAACTTACATTTCCAATAGCTAGAAGGCCTTTGTCAAACAACAACAACATTCCCAGGAACAAAAAGGCAATTCCAAATCCTGCTAGGCCAACACCTATTTCTGGAGGAACAACAAATTATGATGAGTGCTTCTTAACATAAATATTTTTCAATATCGAAAATTTCCCATGCTCTAAATTCTGAATTAAAGTCATACGTATAATAAAGGAAATGTAACAAGACTTTGACCAGTAAAGGACAGGGTTGCCAACCATTAATAAATTTGCAAATAAATTTTTAATTCAGCCACTCCAATCTATGAAAGTTCTTCTTCAAAAATAATTAATTATTCAAAAAACTATTGCGAACGCACAAACAAATTTAAAGGTCGAGGAAAAATGAACAAAAGATAATATTTCTACGTATGATAATAATTATGATAAGTTTGAGAATGTAATTATTTAAATAATTCTATGATAGAGTCTAAAAGTAATGGACTCATAGTGACAGCGCCAAAAAATATTTAGCTTCATAGTTTAACCAATTCGATACGTTTCACCACAGTGTGCGTAAACCCAATTTCGCCTGAATATGTTTAGCTGTAGAGTGAGCCATCACTGGTTTGTTTCATGCCATTAATGTTTTAACTTTTACAGAAAATATTCTATTTATAGCTTTCAAAACTTTTATTCAGAAGAGTTTTAACTTCCATTCTTTGAAATTTCTGGCGGATTGTACCCCTTTAAGTGTATTTTTGCTTTTTTTTTTTTCACGTTTTAAAAATTGTAAACAAACATCAGCTGATTGTAATGGCTTCAACAAGTTGTACTGATACTAATATTAGGTCTGCTCGCTCAAAATTTAGATGTATGACTGCCGAGGAAGCAAGCCAATTAGTTAGCTTGAATGATTCATTGGACTCGAATGAAAACAATGAAGAGGATTTGTTTATATATTTTGTAAATATGTGTACACCGGTATAGTTATTTTTATTATTAACTTTTGGAACATTTATTCAAGACATTTGTGTTGAGAAAAAATTCATAACTAAGCGATTTCTTAAGCTACTGCAACAAACTTTCCTCATACTTTGGATATTTAATAAGAATTATTTGCTGAAAAAAAGAATCTTGTTTGGATTATTCTTATCTGATTGGTAAGTAAAATTTAAAAAAAAAAATTATTGTTACTTTTACTTTTACATACCACTGTCACTGTCATATTACCCCTAAAGTTTTCTCTATATAATTTTGCATCACTATTTTATAAATTAAACATGTTCCTTGTTCAATTTGCCATATGCTACATGACAAAGGTTTGTTAAACAGAAAGCGGGGATTTAGCGTTAAAAATCATCAGGTCAAATGGAATTTTAGTCCCTTAATTTTACTACGCTCCACTGAAAAATTGTGACATTTGAATGGGTTAAACACTTTTATATTTTAAAAGTCTGCCAGTAAAATTTGTTTTTCCATAAAAAGGGTAACAGTTTTCAAAATTTGTCAGTAAATTTTGTTTTATTTAGATATAAACCTTCAAATCAAGTAACCTTGGTTATGAATTTAACAGTTAAACGCCCTTTTAATAAGTATGACATGAAAATAAGGGTCCGTTTGAGTTGGAAAAAAAATTATGTTAGCTGGGAACATGAATTTTAAACATAAAACAGTGTTGAACCCCAGCAAATCAAGTCATGACTTCAAACGAGAAAAGTCAATGAACCAATTCACATAAGATGACAGAAATGAGAATGTTGAATGGAATAAATGTGAATATGGTCTAAAACTTAAGTTATGAATTTAAATTTAAGTTATAAGTTAGTCTAATAGTAGTTAGTAATGTAATAGTAATAAGTTTGTTTATTTAATAACTTACTTTGAAAGTCTGTAACTTGCATCATTTTTACAAGATTTATTTATTGTCGTTGACTTAAATTTAAAAATCCGTTACTAATGAAAAATTTAACTGTAGCCAAATAAATTGTTCCTTAATTTTGTTTCTGTCAACTCATCGCATCGAAAAAAAAGAAAATATTTGTACAGAATTTCACGTTGAGTCAAGTTTCCACGTATTATTATTCGTGCGTGATCTCCCCTGAAATTCGGTGATTCTTTAAAATAATTCCTAGGAAAAATTTCTCAATTGCCTATAAAAAGTAAACAAAACTATGGCTGTTTACCATCAAAATTAATAAATACATAGAAATCATGTGATTTTATATTTATAAATATATAAAATGTTTTTTTATTATTTTCAATTTCATTTGGATGATTATGAAAAGCAAATTTCTTTTACGTAGTTTAACGAGTATTAAAATGGAGTGGTGTTTATGTTTGTAATGGATGAAAGAATTAGAATGGGTATTCTCGTATGTAGTTTTTGTAATGTTGCGTTTTGTATTTCAATGTGGTATAAAATAGATTTTTTAAATTTCTCTTTTAATATGGTTGACTTTGTACCGTGCTTCGAGCCTTTGGGGATAAAAGAGTGATTTTCAAAAAACTTTATTATTATTATTATTTTTATTATATATATATATATATATAATATATATATATATATATATGTGTGTATTGCATGGCATCCTTCCGTCTACATGAGACGATGGAGTAGCTATTTAGTTCTACACTTTGACGAGTGGCTCACTAGGCCAATCCTAGAATGGCAATCACGGCCGCATCTCTCGCAGGAGAATATTTAATCCCAGTAAATTCTTGATTTCCGAATTGTTATTTTTTAGTCAAGTGCCTCGTTTCGAGTATCTTCGAGTATTACTCCTTCAAACACTGCTGTACGCGATGTTCGGCAATGAACTCCCATTTGTTTGTTTCAATATTGGCTTCCCACATGCTTCGTTTGCAAACGTCAATAAATCTCAGGCGCGGTCGTCCAATATGTCTTGTCCCTTCTGCCAACTCTCCATACAGCAGAATCTTTGGGATACGTCCTTCCTCCATTCTCCTTACATGACTTAACCAGCGAAGGCGCCTCTTGATTAGAAAGGAGAATATGCTAAAGATGTGTGCACGTTCCAAAACCTCCACGTTAGACACCCTGTTCTGCCAACGAATGCGCAAAATGCGACATAGACATCTTTGATGGAAGCTGTTGAGTTTCCGCTCCTGACTGGTGTATGTGGTCCACACTTCGCTAACATATAGGAGCGTGCTAAGCACGCATGCCTGATAGACACTTATTTTTGTTTTATCAGTTAGATTGAGATTATTCCACATCCGCTTATTCAGTTTAGCCATAGTTGCTGCTGCTTTTGCAATCCTGATATTTATCTCTCCTTATATATATATATATATATATATATACATATATATATATATACATATATATCATTGAGTAANATATATATATATATATTTATTGGACGTCCCATAAGCGTTCTGACAGCACCCTGTTCTTGTGGCAACTTGTTTTTGCGGCACTCAGTTATGGTGGCACTCTGTCTTGTGCTACCCAGTGCTGGTGGCAATCTTCTTGTGGCATCCTGCTCATCAGTATTTATTATATTACAAATGTTAAGAAACCGACTCGAGTAGGCCTACTTTGACATTTGGAGCCACCAGGGTTACCAGACGTCTGCAGTTAAGAAACAGTCCGTACAAATATCCTCTAAGATGACTTGTCCGTAATAATGGCCGTAAGAACTTGAAGATAGCCGATTTTATTTTATTGTTATTTTATTTTTAAATGATCCATTCTAAATTGTACAAGCATTTGTTGAAGCTTGTTCTAAACTTTTATACTCATAATAAAGATCCAACTTGATAGAAAACTTGATAAAATAAGCCAACGCTTAAAATAGACTCATGTCTAATGGTCAAATGACATAGAGTCGTAATAATTTGATATTTGTCAAAGTACATAAAGTTATTGAATTATAGTCGTAATAGTATTGGATTTGTTAAGGCTACATAAGCTTCAACAATACAACTTTTAAAATTTTGATTGTTCTTTAAAGTTCTGGTGGTTTAGAATATTTGTCAGTAAATTCTATTTTAATGAGTGGCACATTGGGGCTTTTCCCCATTTGAGGGTGTCACCCACTGCTGTCCACACACCCCTTTGGCGCCCTGCCGTTGGTGTACTCAAAGGGGTTTATAGTCCCGGGGGGGGGGGGGCTCTTTTTATTAATTTGTATAACCAACAGATGTGTATTGGGAAAGGAGAATCGTACGTTTGGGATTTAGCTCAAAGTAAACATTTAGTTCAACTAAAATACTTCACTGAATGGGTGGGTGCATTAAATGAGTGTAGTAATGTCTGAAAGAAACAATTTGTTACGTGGAACCAGGGTTTCTTTCATGTATCTTTAGGGGGGGGGGGGTCCACCGGAGCAAATCAAACCCCTCCCCTTGGGGGGGGGGGGGTTTTTCAAAAAATAAAACAAAAAAGGGGGGGGTGGATTTTTCAAACAATAAAACAAAAATAGATTTTATTGAAAAACGACTAAATTGTTTTTTTTTTTTTGTTTTTTATGTATTTTTTTATTTTTTGTTTAAATTAAAAAGAATAGTAACTGATGCCTTTAGAATTAGCGGAACCAATGAAATACACTGGATCTATTTGATGTTCCGTAAGTTTTGTGAGGATCTTGTCCATTACATTAAGGAGGGAGATTCCTCTGTAGTTTGAGCAGACCAACTTAGATGCTTTTGTTGTGAATTGGGATTATGAGTGCCGTGTCCCAATCTATTGGCATTTCTTCCTCCTGCCAGATTCTGGATATAAGCTCGTGTATTGGCCTATGCAGTTTGTTACGGCCTAGCTTAATCAGTTCTGCAGAGATAAGGTCTATTCCTGGGGCTTTGTTATTTTTCATGGCAAAGATCACGTCTTTTATTTCATTCAGTGTTGGTTGGTTGGCCAATGAGTCCTGTCCTACTTGTGGTAGAGCGTAATCCTGAGTCATTCATTAAGCCTTCAAAGTGTTGTGCCCATCTCTCTAGTATCCTACTGCTCTCTGTGATCAGTTCTCCACCCATACTTTCACACATGTGGGATCAAGCTTGAAAGCCATTCTTTTCCTGCTTTATCTTCGGGTACATTCCCCTCACATCTCTTTCTTTTGCCAACTCTTCTATCTCTACTATTTTTTTTATTTTTCCAAGACACGTTTTTTCTTTCTGCAAATTTTGCTGGCCACCCTTCTTGTTTCGTTAAATAATTGCCGCGATCTTCTTGTCTAACGTTTGCAGCATCATTAGCCGAGCGTTGTTTCTTTGTTCTATAAGTTCTTTGCCTTCTACGTCATACCATCCTGTCCTTTTCATTACCGGTTTAAATCCAATCGTTTCCTCTGTTACACTTGTAACTATTTGTTTCATCTTTTCCCATTGCTCATTTAAATCAACGTTGCTGGCTGATTCCCTTTTGGATACTTCTAGTTGAGTTACCATCTTCTGTTGACATGCTTCAGTAATTTTTGGGTCCTTGCTTAATTTCTGGCTGTTGTACTGTTCTTCTCTTTTATTTTGTTTAATTTAGATGATTGATTCTTACCAGTATGTTGTCTGAGTCTATGTCTGCCCCTCTACAGCTTTGTACATCTGATATGTCTGTGTCTATGTTTATCCCTCTACATTTGTGTCAATCTAATATGTCCAAGCCATGTCTCCGGTCAATGAATACATGGTCAATTTGATTACAGGTTAATCCATCTGAAGATATCCATGTTGCTTTATGCATTTGTTTGTGTTGGAATAGTGTGCTACTGATTGTCATTCCTTTTCCTGTAGCGCCGTATATAAGACGTGTTCCGTTGTTGTTGCTCTCATCATGCAGAATTTCCTTTCTGATTGTTGGTCTGTAAGCAGGTTCTTTACCAATTTTTGCATTGAAATCGCCAAGGACTATTTTGGTCTCATGGCGCGGTGCCTCATCAAATACTCTTTCCAGTGTTTCGTAGAAATTTTCCTTCATGCTTTCATCTGTATCTTCCGTTGGTGCATGAGCGCAGATTAACGTGATGTTAAACATTTTCACTCTTATCCTCATGGAGCATAGTCAGTCATTCATTGGTTTAAACCCAATGACTGCATTCACTGTCTCTCTTTTGACTGCAAGCCCTGTTACTAAGGTGTTTGTGTTGTTTCCACTATAAAATAATGTATACTCCATAGGATATCCGAGTCTTTCCATCTGATCTCCTGCAGTGCCGCAACCATGATTCAATTAAGAGCAATACAATCATCGTGGGTTTTTCGTTTTAACAGCCATAAATAGTCCTATCAGTTAGGGTTGCCATGCGTCCGGGTTTCCCCGGACATGTCCTCCCTTAAGACCCATGTGCAGGCGTCCGGGCTGCCCTCAATAAATTTGGCTTTTGTCCGGGCTTTCCCCTTGTCTGCCCCGATCTATACCTTTTGACTTACTGTTCCGTGTCATATAATTGTCTATTCCGTGAACTTACCATGCGTGCCAGCAATGTTTAGTTTAATGATTAATGGTAAGTGTTACTAAGGTAACCACATAAACTTCTGGTTCTGAAAGCCATTTTTGTAAACAGAACGGTAACGCGAGTTCGAGATAATTTATAAATAAGTTATTTTTCAAGTTAAATTAAAAAAAAAAAAATGATTTTAAAAATGCAGAACCGTGTTTGACAGTCGCACTGATTACCCAATGGCCAGGTTTTTGTGCAGGTCGATATGACATGTGCCACCGGAAGTTATATCTCCGGTGCCAATAAGGGTGCGCATCAGATTTCTTCTTCTTCTTCTGTATATCAAGGGGCCACGATCAATGTATTGATAATTTAAAGGTGCACGTGGAAACAACAAAGTATGTTAAGAGTGCTCTCAGAAAAAAACGTCATCTACCACAGTTACAAAAGTTTGTGTAGCAACCAACTTCGAACAGCGTTGAATCAGTTTACAAAAATTCTGGCGTTCCACGCTGTCAAGCGCCATCAGCTATAAATCAAAGTACTGCAGTTGTCTGTCCATCACCATCACAGCCATAAATCAAAGGACTGCAGAATGTATTGTGTACTGTTGCATGCAAAAATCAGTCAGTGTAATGTATTGTGTCATGTTGCATGCACAAATCAGTCAGTGTAATGTATTGTGTAGT